AGCTGGAGAGCAATTTTCACAACGGGATCTCAGAGCACCTGACAAAGATGGGTAAGAATTATTGTACCCTGTTTGCCAGTGAGCAAGATGTGGCCAGAAAGATGAAATGATGTCTTCAAAGTCACGGAGCAAGTCGGTGGCAAAGCTCAGGATACCACTCAGGGCTCCAGCTGGCTTGCACACTGAAAGAACCCAGAAAGGGACAGCCACAGCTGGACATCTCCCACTACACACCCCCAAAGTGAAGAAAATTCCTCAGCCCATAAGCTCCTTTACTGGACAGTTCAGTCATGTCCTATGTGTGTACACTGTCCCGTACCCGAGGGCCTGGACTGAAACAAAAATAAGAGTCCATATCTTGTAATGTTCTATCTTATCTTCCAGTCAAGGGTCTTTCATAGATTCATAGATGTTAGGGTTGGAAGGGACCCCAGTAGGTCATCGAGTCCAACCCCCTGCCCTGGGCAGGAAAGAACGCTGGGATCAGACGACCCCAACTAGGTGCTTGTCCAGTCTCCTCTTGAAGACCCCCAGGGTAGGGGAGAGCACCACCTCCCTTGGAAGCCCATTCCAGATTCTGGCGACCCTTACTGTAAAGAAATTCTCCCTGATGTCCAACCTAAATCTGCTCTCCGTCAGTTTGTGGCCACTGTTCCTAGTTACTCCAGGGGCGCCCTAGTAAATAAAGCATCTCCTATTCCCTGCTGACCTCCCCAATGAACTTATAGGCAGCCACAAGATCACCCCTCAGCCTTCTCTTGCGAAGTCTGAAGAGATCTAGGTCCCTCAGTCTTTCCTCATAGGGCCTTGCCTGCAGGCCTCTGACCGTACAAGCAGCCTCCTCTGAACCCTGGCCATGTTGTCCACATCCCTCTTGAAGTGTGGCGCCCAAAACTGGATGCAGTACTTCAACTGCAGCCTGACCAGTGCCGCATGGAGGGGAAGCATCACCTCACTGGACCTGTTCGTCATATGCATCTGCTAATGCATGATAAAATGCAGTTAGCCTTATTGATCATTTCATCACACTGACAATTCATGTTCATCTTGGAGTCAACTATGACTCTAAGATCCCTTTCTGCTGCTGAGAAGGTCATCCCCCAGCCTGTAAATGTGTTGGTGGGTCTTTTTGCCCAGGTGCAGCACTTTGCACTTGTCTTTGTTGAACTGCATCCTATTTCGTTCTGCCCATTTTTCCAACCTGTCCAGATCTGCCTGGATTCATTCCCTACCCTCTGGTGTGTTAACTTCACCCCATAATTTGGTATCATCTGAGAACTTGGCCAGGGTGCTCTCCATGCCCTCGTCGAAGTCACTGATGAAGACATTGAACAGCACTGGTCCAAGGACCAAGCCTAGCGGGACTCCACTGCCCACATCTTTCCAGGTCAATATTGACCCATCCACTACCATTCTCTGGGTGAGACCCCTGAGTCAATTTGCTACCACCTGACCGTGTAATCATCTACATCACAGCCTATCAGTTTATTTATGAGAACATAATGCGATACCATATTGAAGGCCTTCTTAAAGTCTAGGTAGATGACATCCACCTCGACTCCTGTGTCTAAGCATTTTGTGACCTGGCCATAAAAAGAAACCAGGTCAGGCAGGATCTACCTTCAATGAATCCATGCTGATTTCCTTTCAGCATTACTTCCCCTGCTGGGCTCCCAGAAATGTGATCCTTACTGATTTTTTCCCAGAGTTTTCCCAAGGATGGAGGTGAGACTAACTGGCCTATAGTCTCCCGGTTCCTCCCTTCTCCCGTTCTTGAAAATAGGGACCACATTGGCCCCTTTCCAGTCCTCTGGGACCTGACTGGAGCACTGTGAGTGCTCGAACAGCCCTGCCAGCGGCTCTGCTATGACATATCATGGACACCCCAGGAGGTGGGAGATGTCTCACAGATGGCACAAAGTGGAGTGACCTCTTACAGGGTCTCACAAAGGCCAGGAACAGATTGCCAGTCTCCTGCCATCCTATATTGGGCACTAGTCCCTGCTCCCCCCTCCTTTCCAAACCTTTCTGGATAAACAGCTAAGCACCCAGGCAGACTCCACATGGCAGGAGGCTTAGCTGGACAGAGAACAACATTCAGCTAAAGGTGACAAAATCCATGGTGAGCACCAGGAATAATTACATGGCAGTTACGGTTGCCTCGCCTTCAGCCTATAGGAGTGGCCCTGGCTGAGACTGGACACATCATTGACATGTGACCTCCTGCTTCTCGGTGCAGAGGAGCTTTATACCCTTCTCCCCAAGGTACAAAGTGCTTTGCCTTGGGTGCACAGTTTCTGAAGCAAAAGGAGAGTCTCTTCCAAGTTGCAGCCTACCCATTCCAACTGCTACCAGCTCAATGAGAAGCAGGAGTTCAGACACACAAGAGCTACTGATGAAAGGGAGCAAGTATGGAAGGGTCCAGGGAGGCTGAACACAGCCATAAGAGCCTGCCTCCTGGTCACGTCTCAAAGGGCGCCCGGCATTCCTGACTGCGTAGTGAATGCACATGGTACTGTGACCATACATCCACTGGCAACATGGGGTAACGCTGATGGGCAAGGCAGGTGAGACAGGCCGCAGCATGCATCACTCCCCCCACTTTGTGGCTCCCACCGCTACGGCTTCGGAGACCCTGGGCGCAGCGCACCGTTGTTATGGTAACGGTAATATCTTACAATTCCACTGATTAAAGCAGGAATTGGAAAGCCCGGCCCAGAAGGGAGCCAGATGGAGACCCGATTCCCTAATGACTATCATCCCTCACTGGCCATAATCCCCAGCATGTGTCCTGTGCAGTGGCAGCCTCCGTTGCACAGGCTGGGGCCTACCCTGGTTTTGATCACCACAGGGCCACTTCCCTAGTCCCGGTCATGCCTGGATTATGCTGGCAGACATGGGCGTTCAGAGTCCTATGTGTCGTGCATAAACCCCTACCTGGGCCCAGTGCCCCTTACAAACAAGCAGTGTAAAGTGGCTGCAAAGGAGGTGCACAGGGCATTTACAGTCATGGTCAGAGCAGCGTGAAATCCTTAGAGTAAGTGTCAGTGTAAACGAGAATCAGGCTCCCACTCTGAACACCTGAAGAGACTGGGCACTTGTGCAATGGTGTCTCCCCATGCCAGCCCCCAACAGCTGTATTGCAGCCTCCTCAGGCGACAGACGGCAGCTCAGACCAGGCTCTCTGTCTCTCACTGAGGAAAGGAGCTTCAAAGGCAGCCATTTTCCTGCCTAACCTTTCTGGAAGGCTTCAAGCTGTGCTAAAAGCACTGCCTCAGAGAAAACAATCACTGTGACTGTGAAAGAACCAGCAGGTGGGGAAAAGTTGGGTACAGAGCCCAGGCATGCACAGGCAGCCTGCGCAAGGTGTGCACACACCCACCAGCCTTGCATGTACACTCACATAACATATACCACCCTTGGTGCACAGGCACAAACACCCTGCACACACAGAAGCACAACGATGTACACCACATCCCCTTGTCACCCAGACCCAACAAACCTGCCACACACCCACATACACACATGGATGGGCAGGTAAGCAGAAAGCAGAGCAAACTGAGCTCTGGTATCTTCATACTTCACTGAAGACACTTCCTCTGTTTACTGATGACCATGCTTTCCTATCGCAGATCAATCGGAGAAAGGCTCTTGTTCAAGAATTAGGACTTGCTGCATGGAACAGAGCGCCTCAGTGATTACAAGCTGGCAGGGGGTTTCTGCGAGGATGGGAACTGCACTAATTATGCAGAGCCCGGCTCCCCACCGCCTTTGGCAGGGTGCCGCGTTCTGCACCAGCTGGGCACAGATGCAAGTGACAGCACAGGGGGCAAAGCAGGGAGAATCAAGCCAAGACAGACAGAGGTATGAGAATAGTTTGTGAGCTTCCTTCTCCTTTTATTTACTCTGGTGTAAGTTAGGAGAAACCTACTGACTTCTGTGCAGTTATGCCCAGGTGTCACTGGTGGAAGTGAGCAGAGAACTTGCCCTCAGAAGATTTTAAAGGGCGCAGGTACCTAGATGAGACCAGGACCATTTTGGGTAGCGCAGGGAGTGAGGCCTCCAATGATGGTTGAGACCCCCTTAAGCAAAGGGGGATCTAAAACAACTTCCTTGCTGGTGAGATGCGCAGGTCAGGGAAGAATCTCCCAAGGCTACTGGACTCAGGCAGTGCACCAACCTCTCACTGTGCACTTGTATCTACCCACTACTGAAGCCTGTGGTCTCTATAGTGATTGCTTTGGATGTCAGTGTCCAAACAGCTAGGCTGGGGTCTCATGAATCCAAATCCTTCTCCTGTCACTCACAAGCCCTCTCTCAAGGTACTAATGGTGCCCTGGTCTCTCCTGCTGCTTTCCTGTGGCACACTGTAGGGTTTTGGGTGGTAAGGGGTTGTATTAAAGACCCTAAGCTCATCCTGGGGTGCTTTGGGCTGTGACATATGTGAAGGGACAAAGGAGATATTCTCGTGAACCATTCTGGACAAACATCATGACACAATTGCCTGGAATCACTGGGGGCAGGATGACCCTTCCAGTCCTCTGTTCAAAAGTAATTCTCAGCACTGCCTCCCACAGCAGGCAACGTGTTCCTGCATTGCACAGGGGTTAAAATGCCCCATCTAGCAGAGGACTGGAATGCTAGTCACTGGTGGCCAGATCAGCCTCTGCACCCAGTGGTTCCCCTCCAGAAAGCAGCTCAGTCCTGTGAATAATCTGTCCTTGCGCCATGCTGAGTAAATCTCAGCTGCACACTGACTTCCCCTGATCCTATCTCAGCTCAGGTGGAAGTTTGCTGCCCTTGGCGGGAGTGAAGATGGGATGGTCTCAGTTAGGAGCTTGCCTGCAAACCTGACACTTTCCAAATGAGGAAGGTAAAAGGCTGGAAGAAGGAGCTACTGGAATGCTCTCTAATTACAGCCCTTGAGCCATCACGCACGTGTAGTCACCCCATGTTTTAATCACCAGCGGATCATGCAATCATTACTGAGAGCTCCATACCTGATGTTGTCAATGAGGAGCTGGTGGGACTCACTGGTGAGAATCATGGAGAGGGCATAAGCCAAGTACTCCACCTTCCGCTCAGCTGCGTATTGCTTCAAGATCATGAATACCTTCTCCTTCACCTCTGGCTGGCCACCCAGGATTTCATCCACCTGTGTGGGGGAAGGAACAAAAAACATATGAATGGAGGGAGACACTGCCAGAAAGCTCAGCAGAAATAAAATCAGCAGCAGCACATTCATTTATTTATAATACACGGACCAGTCAGAGAAGGGGAAACAGTCTACTCAACCCCCCCCCACAAATTGCAAATGATTGTGGCAAAAATCCACAACTCCCTAAGACTCCACAGCTGTCACTGTGTGGCATGCTATCGTCTTGGAGAACTCTACAGCAACCGCAAGAATAGAAATCCTACTGCTCCAAATGCACAGATTTCCCACGCATGAGCTAAAAGAGAACTTCCTTGTGGTGCAGTCTGAGGACACAGCTGAACAATCCTGATGCCATGTTGCAGGGGGAACAGCTTGCACTGAAAACAGACCTTAAATCACCTCTTGGCCAGACTGTGACATGTCCTTGCTGTGAACTCTTGCAAAGCTGCAGAGAAATAGGAAGCTGAAGCCTGTGCAGTAGTGGAGTACATGGAAAAGGGCTGCAGTGAATCAGTGGTTCCCAGGCACTGGGACATCACAGGTGGGACATGAGGCTTTTGTGACTGGTTTCTAGAGCCCTCTCTTCCCACAACAATTAATAGCTTTTATGCTGGTATTCAGCTCACTGCCCTGCCTTCTTACCACCCATTCCAGCCTGCTGTGGAGCCTGAGGAGGGGGTCATGATCTTGGCACAGATTTGAGGAACCCCAAGCTCTACAACAAAATAGCACCGAAGGCATGAATCGGGCCTAGGAGGAAGAGCTGGGGACAAGGTCCCAGTCTGGTAACTCTACAGCTCCAGTTACGTTAGAAAGAAAGAAGCAGCTGGGCAAGCTGGTGTGTGGGGACCTTGCTCCTCCCTCAGAGATGATTCCAGGGAGTCCGCATGTGGGCAAACATCCTTCAGATTCAAGAATGCAGGAGTGATGTCCCCCGCACCCAGGTTGTGTTTGCCTTTCTATGGGTGCAGGGTCCTGCAAATCCAAGCAATGTCCCCAGTCTTGCAGTGTCTGGCTTCCAAACAGAAGTTAGCACCCACAGGCAGAGAGCTCACTCACCCTCTCCCTCCTGCGGAGTAACAGGGGTATCTGCCTTCCCTGTGCTCCCCAAACCACAAAGCACCTATGCCCAGTGGAAAGTAAAGTGCAACGTGCAGGGGGAGAGAGGCCTTTACAAGAAAGAGGAAGTCGCTGCCTCCTGGCGTGCGTTCCACTTTGAAGCTCTCCAAAGTCAGTGATCACAGGCCCTGGTAACCTACATCACAAACCACCAGGTAGTTGGCAATTTGAAAAAGCCATCATGTGACCACTTCTGAAATTCCCAGGAAGCAGCAGACATTTCAAGGTTATTAAATCTGGAGCAGTCAAGGCAGCCGTTCTCCAGCATATGCCTGCATCTCACTCCAGTCCCAGTGAAGTGGGGACAAAGAGCTGGGCATCTGCAGTGAGCCCAATCCTGGGGCTGTCCAGTTAAAGCTTTGCCAGAGCCAGATAGGACTTGGACCTGAAAGGAGAGAGTCCTGGGTGCCCCCAGGCTGCTGCAGCGCTACCCCAGAGATCTAGCTAGCTGGAGAGTCCTCTGCCTCCCTCCCTGCACAGAAACGTGGCTGGGAAAGAGACTGGCACCTCAGGGTAGCTGACCTGACAGCCTTGGAGCCTGAAGTCCCGGCTTATGCAGAGAATAGGTACAGGGTGGCTTATGGCAGCATGGACCTGCCTTGCTGTAGTGTATAACCCTGGCCAGAAGAGGCAAGGCACGTCCATGCTCTGTTGTCCATTCAGGCCTTGGCCTCTCTGCAGAGACCTGTCAAGGAGGGGGCCAAGTGTTACAAACTGTGATGTGGGCAACCCCCCTGAGCTACCTCCCAGACCCGGTGTACAGGGCACAGTTGCACAGTCCGGCAGGGACTACCTGCAATGTGCAGGAATGCAGTGCCGCCAGAAACAGGTCAGAGTCCCACCCCCAACTCATCCTCCCCACCCACCCTGGAGCAGGCCAGAGCAGAGTAGCAACCTAGGACCAGCTAAGGAACAGATCCAGAAGCAGGGCCAGCTGAGGGTTTGGGTACAGGCTCACAAACATCACAGGTCAGGAGTGAAGATGCTGCCAAGTCTGCTGCTTGCCCATCCCTCAGTAAGGCCTTCAACACTGAGAATCCAAGAGAGGAGGGACTGGAGCTCCAGGAGAGAAAAACCTCACATCTCAGGCTTGCAAAGCCCAGAGGACAGAGCCCAGTGCAAACCACACACCTCCTTACACCTCCTAACACAGGCCAGAGCCCAGACTGCAGTGGCACAGTGAAACAGCTGTGAGCTGGTGGTGCATCCTGGGTAATGACATGCTAATAAGCAGCATCCCCAGGCTCCCTCCTGGCACCTTGGACTGTCTTCCCAGCTCTGCCACCAGCAGCTGAAGTGCAGCCGAGTTTGCAGGTACAGCAGAGGGGAAGCACCCCACTGGGTTTCATTATTTTCTGCAGCTTGTCGAAAATTAAGCAACTTAAAACATCTAAGCCATTCTCCTCCCCTCCAGAGTGCTGTTTGCCAGCTGGGCCACGCAACTGCTCCTGAAAGGCAGCAGCCCACGATGATCGACAAACTCATTTACGTTCAGTTTCTCTGGGGCACGAGAAGAGGCTGGAGGCTAGCGGGGTGGGATGTCTAGTATGGAAGGAGCATGCTATGTTGGCAAGCAGCACAGGGTATCAGCATCACGTAAAGAGGTAGCAAGCACAGTGATGGAGCCATATCCAGCTCCAGTTTCGTGAATGTCCCCACTGACTGCAGAAATCCTTTAAGAAATATTTTCTGTGGTGCAGTATGAATGCACTGGTTAACATAAAATGAAGTGACTTCTCAGCCTTTCAACAATCCCCAGTAATCAGTGGGGATGTGTCTAACCTTTAACAAAACCACCTCATGAATCCTAAAATAAATGCATGTTCTTCTTCTTGTGTCTTTGTCATAAACTAGTTATTTTTCCAGAATTATGCACAAATGATAGCTCTTTCTGTTATTGTTCTGCATGTTGTACAGCCTTAATGTAAAGCCAGACTAATGGAGATTCCTCTGATACCTATGAATCACTCTACAAACATCTTCCTTTTTTGTCAGCATAGGATCAAAAAACCAGACCCCTGGTTATTTTCATAACAGCATTTTCTTTTAAATTTTTTTGAAATGGAAATGAGGAAGATTAAAAAATAACCGTGATCAAATTTATAATTAGCAAGAGGTGATAAGTTTGGGAAATTATCCACCGGGTAACTGTCAGGAACACAATAAAGATGTAATTACTTAGTTATTTTTTCCTTTGCTGCTAACATTTTTCAAGGATGGCAAGCTGAAATGTGAGCTACAGCTACCTGAAGCAGCGAACTGGCCATCCCGACTACTGCCTGACAGTTACTACCCTTTCATGAAGCTTGGCCATCCATAGTGCCTGTCCCTGGAGGATCTCAACGCTTTCTGCAAACATGCTGTGACCCTTCTCATTAAAATAGCATGATTATGCCTAACCTCCCTTCACAGATGATGAAGCTAATGATCCCTGCAGAAAGTGACTTGTCTGACCTCGCTTCCCAGCAGTGGGGCTGAGAAAAGAACCCAGAGAAGTCCCGATTCTAGCCTCACTAACACAGCTGTAAAGTAATGCAATTCTACTGACTTTATCAGGCACTCTGAGCTTACACAGACGCAACTAAGCACAGGATTTGGCATATGTTTCCTAATTCCCAAACTTTGTTTTAACCACAAGCCATCATGACCAACTAGGCTTCTTTCCCCAAAACATCCTCCATCTGCTTTTCGATAAGACTGAAAAAAGCACCCCTGAAAGCTGCCTCTGTGAGCCTTTCCTCTGCCTGGACTCCGGCTGGTTTCAGGCTGGGCTCAGGGGAAAGTTAGGGGGAGCTGTAGGTGCCGATCCTCCAAGTGTTACCTGGCTCTGTAAAAATTGTATGTCAAGAAAGCTGAGGCTGGCCAAGGAACCTGCAGCATTGCAGGGCTGAGTGGGCCCTGCCTTCTGCAAAAAAATGGCAAAAGAAGTACAACTCCACACTGTGGAAAGCAGGTAGATTAACAAATAGTGGCCAAGTGGCCAGGCATGTTCTGCTGTGTGTGTGTGCCGATACAGGCTCCTCCCCTGGCCAGGAAATGGCCTCCTCTACAGACACTTGTCCAAAACACATCTGGTTCCCAATACCGAAGTGTGCCTGGGATGACTGGTGGCTTTATATGACAGCCACATCAAAAGACTCATGGGAGCCACAATGATTCCACCAGCTGAGGATATCCTTATCAGTCTCTGCCTTTTGTGAGCAAATCCTGTGCTCTCAAGTAGACACCGGGGACCTCAAATGCATAAGAACAGATGTGTCGGAGTTCACTGAGCTCTGGGATCAATGACTGGTGCAGGGGAGAGGGGCACAGGTCTGCGTTACCCAATCTGCTAAGACACTGCTGTTCTCCCTGGGCAGAGCTCATTTCTGCCCCAGCCTTCCAACAGTCACCAGACAGCAGTCCCCTGACAGCCCCTGTGCCCAGCCCTGTCCCCTCAGCCCTACCTTCTTGCTGAATTCCTGGGCCTTCTGCTTCCTCTCCTGATGGATGGCGTCAGCGCTCTGGACAAATTCCCGGACGCTGCTGCTGCCCCATCTCTGCAGCCGCCCGAGACGCAGAAGCCCCAGTCTCAGAGCCTTCCCCTGGCAGGACTGGATCATGGCAGCAGCCACTTCGTAAAACTTCACCAGGAGCCCGTTGATCTCCAGCACGTAGTCCCCTGGCTTGATCCCACGCTCACAAGCAGGCGACTCAGGGACCACACTCTCCACTTGCAGGGGGCTGCCACTGTGACACATCAGGTTGAAGCCAAACTTCCCATCCGGGCCAGGCTTGAGGTCCATCTGCTGGATGCGCGAGACTACACCAATGCTGGGAGGCACGTTCTCACACTGCCTCGCCAGGCTGATGAGAGCTTCGCAGCTCATGGATGAGACTGGCTGCCCTTCTATCTCCAGAATCTGGTCTCCTGGCTGGAGGCCAGCGGCATGAGCACTGCTGCCTTCTTCCACCGCAAGGATGTAGCAAGGACCATTGCCGCTTATCTTAAACCCAAAAGCTTCAGGCCAGCCCTGGTTGGAAGTCGGCATGGTGGCAACTGGAAAAGGAGAGCAGGAGAAAAAGCAGTGAGACTGTTTCCCTACTGTAACAATGTCAGGTCTTGGCAATGTTATGTACATGGGAGACCTTCTGGCAGGCAGTCTGGTTTTCTCCGTGTTCTCATCCCTTTGGAAAAGAAATGCCCCTGAACAGGTGAGGAGATGCCCCCTTCATCCCACCCCACAATCTGCCCTTTATCTTTCCCATCTCATGGTCTTAGAGGCACCAATTTCATCAGCAGCCCGGAAACGAGCTGAACTGATGGAAAAGGCCAGGTCTTAACGCAGCGTGACCTGGTATTTAGAATGCATCAGTTCTAGGTCGGTCTACTCAGTTTGTTAAATGGCTGTGACCCAACCCCTGTGCTATGTGAATAAGTTAATTGTCATCCACCTGTGTACCAAAACCATCCTTTCATGTTCCTGGTAATGTCACGCTGGAAAACACAGCAACAGAATGACTCAACACTGGCTTATTGCAACAAACACTTCTTATCAGACAATAGCTACCAAAGCACGTGTACTCGTGTTGGCCAGATCCTCCCAAACCTGCTGCTGGGCTCCTTGCCTTGTACTTGCACTGGCTTGGCCAAGGCCAGGAAGGCCTGCAATACCTGATCCACAGATGGCACGCCAATGGGTTAAATCCAGCGTGTCAAGGGACTGTGTTCGAAAGGCTGGCTCAGAAGCAAGAACCAAGGATTCACCCCTGCTTCCAGGGAAGGGAAAAGCTGCTGTCGACCCAAGTGAGCAGATCAAGCCCTAAGGGAAGTATCAGGCCCAGCAGCCAGGCATGCTTTGTGGAAGAGGTGCATGTTTGAGGGGAAACAGGCACATTAGATCTTGAAGCTTATAACACAGACAAGCAGCCTCCTCAAAGCTCCTTCTCAGCTGCATTGGACCCACTACATAACTTGCATATACACCTTTAGTTGTCCTTGGCTATTCCTAGACAATCTGTGAGCTGACTTGCCTGCTCCATTTGATCCAGCTTTGGCATGGAGATGCTGTTTGTGCTCAGATCCATTTATTACATATTATTTAACACAGACAAGAAAACCATGGAGACAGAAAGTGGCTTGCCAGAAATGACTGGGCAAATTCCCTTCAGGAAAGGTATTAGTGATGATAATCGCTGGGCTCAAATATCATCACAGCTGCACTTTTATTTGTGCACCGTTCGGATTCAAAGGTCTCAACAGCGAACAAAAAACAAAGTCACAAGAACCAAGTGGTTTTAGGGAGGCCCCAGGCCTGGCTCCAAACTAGCCCCAATTGCAGCCCCTGCCCTGATGCAAAGGCACCCCCAGCTCACGTGTGTGCTGGGTCTGCTGGGATAAGCCAGAGCTAGAACAGCATCTGAACACATGGCTGCTCAGCCAAAGCCAACCTCTAAGACTCCACTGCTGGCTTCAACAACCCTGTATCTGCTGGAGGAGTCAGACATCCAATCGGTGCAGTTTGGCTGACACTTTCTTGACTTCCCCAAGCACCGATGAGGTTTTCAGGGACATTTGCAAAGGTGCAGAGGACAGTTTGGTGCCTAAATCCTACTGACAGCAGTGGGAGCTGGGTCCCTTACATCTGAAATTCATCCCTTCTGTATTATTTAAAGTCACCCGCCAGCTGTGCCTGTCTTTGCTGAGAACATAGAGGGTTTGGGTGTGCAGCGTAAAGAGAGTTCTGGATTTACATCCCAAGCAGCATTTCTGCCTTTGCATTCACAGCCATCTCCCACTCCAGCCTGTGTCCATCCCCTGTACGGAACATCCGTGTCACAGTTGCAACGGCATCACTGCAACTTACTTCCATCCTGTGACCCTCCCCACTCAGCTTCACTCTCCCACCCCTAAGCTCAGCGTCCAAGTGGTCTTTTCTTTTCTCCTCCAAGTCTGGAGGTGTCCTCCCCACACTGCTATTGTTTGGAATTCAGCAAGAAACAAGACTGTGCATCTCCTGTTATGGTCCAAGGAGATGAAAGACAAGTCTCTAACCTCCTGTCTTAGCAGGAATAACATGGCGCAGCCTGTTCCTGGGGAGACACCAGTGGGGGTGGAAGTGAGCAAGAGAGTGCTGCATTACTATAGAAACCTGTATTAATAATCAGAGTCTGGATCTACTGCTGCAAATAGCTCCTGTGCTGTGCTTTGAAGGGAACTGGGAGCATTATCTTGAAAGAACATATGAAAAGTACTAAAGAATAAGCAATAAATAAAGTTCTAAGGCTGGTGCTCTTGGCCTGTTATGTAGTGAACTCTGAAATCTGTTAATGCCAAGTGCTACACAAGAGCTAAGTATTATCCTGATTATGACATTAAAGGGGAAATGCATTCATCAGGATGTCCCCAACAGGTGTAAATGTCACGGAGGGAGAGGATGTGTACAGCACTGAAGCAAGCCTGGGAGGGAATTAATCACAGGAAGCAGAGGCTGAATGCTGTGCTGTAGAAGGATCTCCCTCAGTGAACAAGGACCGCAAAGCAGATAGCAGGACTACAGGTAAAGACAGACAGACGGAGCTGCTTGCAGTCTGAGACAGACAGACAGAGCTGCTTGCAGTTTATCTATTAAAAACAACACTAGGTACAGCCTTGGTGAGGATGCTGGAAGCAGCTGTGCCCTGGCTCCAGGGAGATGGGCCAGAAGACCCCCGTCTCTAACT